CTATAGTTACTTATAGATAGTTGTATTTCAGGTAATTTTCATGTTTTTCTTTGTAAGATTCCGATAACTAGAGATGTCTTAGTTTGGGCTACTATGACAACACCATAGACTCAGTGGCTTATAAACTACAGAAATTTATTTATTACAGTTATAGGGGCCGAGAAGTCCAAGATCAAGGTGCTGGCAGATTCTGTGTCTGGCAAAGGCCTGCTTCCTGGTTAATAAACAGCCATCTTCTCATGGTGTCCTCACACAGAAGGGAAGGGAGCTCTCCAGGATCTCTTTTATAAAAAAGGCACTACTCCCATTCATGAGTGTTCCAATATAGGCCCCAGCTCCTAATACAACCACACTGGGGATTAGGATTTCAATGTATGAATTTAGAGGGAGGACAAACATTGAGTAACAGATGAGTGTTATTTTTTTAATTGAGAAAAGACTGATATTATTTTGAAAATGCTTGCCCAGACCACTTGGGTTTATTGAGGGCATTTAAAGTGAAAAATTGAGGGAGGAGGCATATTACATGTGGTTAAGGAGAGATGAAAGATGAAAAAAATAGAAGCATCATATTTGGGCCAACCTTTTGGGAAATTTGGGAACAAATGCAGAGATCAATAGTTCTAAAGACATTGGGATTATAGAAAGAATTTTAGGGAATGATCAATTTTAGGATTGAGGGAAGAGGTGAAAGGAAAAGGCAAGGGTATTGCAGCAGTATTCTGGAGGAGGGTGGGAAGGGATGGGATCAAGTGGGCGTTAAAAAGAGCCTTTTGAAGTAGAGAAAAAAGGAAGTAAATGGAGGAATTTTGGAAAGCCTAGAGTTGAAATTCTAAGGAAGGAAACAAAATTCTTTCCCTTTGCTTCCTGGTGCTGCTGACATTTGTCATCCCCAGTGTTGCCGCATATTGTTGGATCCTGTGCCTTTTCCTTCTTAAGCATTTTATATTTTTATTAATAAGAAACTCAATGCCATAGGGACAACTAAAAAGAAACTGCAGAATGTAGAAAAGCATGGTGTGATGGAAAGAATGCTGATCTGGTGGACAAGACCTAGAGTTTTATTCTGCTGCTGTCATTTTTTTTTTTTTTTTTGAGACAGAGTCTCACTTTGTTGCCCTGGCTAGAGTGAGTGCCGTGGCGTCAGCCTAGCTCACAGCGACCTCAGACTCCTGGGCTCAAACAATCCTACTGCCTCAGCCTCCCAAGTAGCTGGGACTACAGGCATGCGCCACCATGCCCGGCTAATTTTTTCTATATATTTTTAGCTGTCCAATTAATTTCTTTCTATTTTTGGTAGAGACGGGGTCTCGCTCTTGCTCAGGCTGGTTTCGAACTCCTGAGCTCAAACAATCCGCCCGCCTCGGCCTCCCAGAGTGCTAGGATTACAGGCGTGAGCCACCACGCCCGGCCTGCTGCTGTCATTTTTAACCTTCATGTTATTGATTATGTCCTTAACAATGGCCTTGCCTTAGAGTGAGACTGATAATCTTTTCAAATCATTACTTTAAAATTTATAATACTGGCACATACTCAGAATAGTATAGAAAGTGTTAAAGTGGAAAAATAAATCTACCCAACTCCCTATGCCAGTTTGTTGTTTCTTATGTATTCTTCCAGAAGTTTTCTAGACGTATACAAATATATAAATGTATGTGTCTTCCCTTTTGTTCTTTACATAGATGGAACCTACGTACTATTCTCAACTTGTTTTTCCATTTAATGTTACATCTTTGATATCTCTTCATGTCAGCATATGTGGATTTATTTTATTCTTTTACCAGCTACATATTATTTATTCCACCTTATGGATAAGCTTAGGTTCTTTGACCTAGTCCAGTGATTTTAAGGAGCCCCTTGATTATGATCCTTTATAGCACAGTTCTTTTTTCTAACATGGTTCTTACATGGCATTTTATGTTTTCTGTTTTTTGTAGTAGATAATGAGACTGACAATAATTTGACAAAGGAAATGTGTGAAGAAAAAGATTATACATCACTTGAACTTCAAAGGGAATTTTCCCAGGAAACAGACTTCTCAGAAGCCTATATTCTAGAGAAACAACAAGAAATCTACTCAGTAGGAAATGTGAAGAAGGAAAAGAGCAGTGTCATTCATGGAACGGTGAAAGATGATGCAAGCCCCATGGAGGATTGTTTCTTAACTCAAAGTCCAAACTTCTATCAGCGTCATACCATCTCCACTGGAGAGCAGCCCCCTGAGTGTACGGAACTGGAGAAAGCCTTCAGCTTTGACACAAAACTTACTAAGCATGAAATTATTGATTCTGGAGAAAGACCTTTCAAATGTGAAGAATTAGTGGAAACCTTTAGGTGTGACTCTCAACTTATTCAGCATCAAGAAAGCCACACCGAGGAGAAGGCTTATCAGTGTACAGAGTGTGGCAAAGCCTTCAGTGTTAATGAAAAATTAATTTGGCATCAGAGATTTCATAGTGGGGAGAAACCCTTCAAAGGCGTGGAGTGTGGGAAAAGCTTCAGCTACAGTTCCCATTATATCACACATCAGGCAATCCACAGCGGGGAGAAGCCCTATCAGTGTAAGGTGTGTGGGAAAGCCTTTAGCGTTAATGGGAGCCTAAGTAGGCATCAGAGAATCCATACGGGAGAGAAGCCATATCAGTGCAAGGAGTGTGGAAATGGCTTCAGCTGTAGTTCTGCATATATTACACATCAGAGAGTCCACACTGGGGAGAAACCTTATGAGTGTAATGACTGTGGGAAAGCTTTCAATGTTAATGCAAAATTAATTCAACATCAGAGAATCCATACTGGAGAGAAACCTTATGAATGTAACGAGTGTGGAAAAGGCTTCAGGTGCAGCTCCCAGCTTAGGCAGCATCAGAACATCCATACTGGAGAGAAGCCCTATCAGTGTAAAGAGTGTGGAAAGGCCTTCAATGTTAATGCAAAACTAATGCAGCATCAGAGAATCCACACTGGTGAGAAACCCTATGAGTGCACTGAATGTGGAAAAGCTTTCAGCGTCAAAGGGAAATTAATTCAGCACCAGAGAATCCATACAGGTGAAAAACCCTATGAGTGCAGTGAATGTGGTAAAGCCTTCAGGTGTAACTCCCAGCTTCGGCAGCATCTGAGAATCCACACTGGGGAGAAGCCCTATGAATGTAATGAATGTGGAAAGGCATTCAATGTTAATGCAAAACTAATGCAGCATCAGAGAATTCACACTGGGGAGAAACCCTTTGAATGTAATGAATGTGGGAAATGCTTTACTTCTAAAAGAAACCTATTTGATCATCACCGAATCCATACTGGAGAAAAGCCCTATCAATGTAAGGAATGTGGGAAAGCCTTTAGTATCAATGCCAAACTAACTAGGCATCAGAGAATACACACTGGGGAGAAACCTTTCAAATGTATGGAATGTGAGAAGGCATTCAGCTGTAGTTCTGACTATATTGTGCATCAGAGAATCCATACTGGAGAGAAGCCCTTTCAATGTAAGGAGTGTGGAAAAGCCTTCCATGTTAATGCCCATTTAATTCGACATCAGAGGAGCCACACTGGGGAGAAACCCTTCAGATGTGTGGAGTGTGGGAAAGGTTTCAGCTTTAGTTCTGACTGTGTTATACATCAGACAGTCCACACTTGGAAGAAACCCTATGTGTGTAATGTGTGTGGGAAAGCCTTCAGGTTTAGCTTCCAACTTAGTCAGCATCAGAGTGTCCATAGTGAAGGAAAATCCTAATAACAGTCCACACTTGTGTAATGTGTGCTGGAAAGCCTTCAGGTTTAGCTTCCAACTTAGCATCAGAGTGTCAAATCTAAGAAGAAAGGTGTAGAAAACTCTCAAGGTTAATGCCAAAATGGATCAAGTGTCATCAGATTCACCCTGATGGAATACTGAGAGGGAAATGAATATGGCAAAGTTTTCACATGGAAACAAATCTTTTTTTTTTAATTTTATTTTTAATCAGGAAAGGATGACCAGTTAAAAAGAAACATCCAAAAATAAATAGCTTTGTTTTGTACCAACAAGAATTAGAAAATATAATGAAAGAAAATATCCTGTTCTTAGCAGCATCAAGAAAAGTAGATTTTCTAGGATTAAACAATGATCATTGGCAGACCTATATGGAGGAAATTAAAAGTCTCCACTGAGGGCCACGAAAGGGAACTTGAAAAAATGGAAAGAGAAATCTTGTTCTTGGACAGGAAAACCCATATAAAAATATTCACTCTACCTAAATTAACTTATTTCTGTTGAGTTTTTAAAATATAAGCATGCATTACTTTTGTAAAGAGGAAAAATAAAGATTTCTTTAAAAAAGGAAAAAAGATATGAGTAAATATTTTTATTTTCATGGAATAGGGAAAACCTTTCTAAATGTCAGATGAAAGCTAGAAACCAGTGCTTGCTTCAGCAGCACATATGCTAAAATTGGAATGATACAGAGAAGATTAGCATGGCCCCTGTGCAAGGATAACATGCAAATTCGTGAAGCGTTCCATAAAAAAAAAATAGAAAAAGAAAGCAAGCTAGAAACCAGCTACAGGGAATGTATTGATAAATTGACTACTCAAAACTAAATATTTCTGTCTTTTCATTTTAAATAATCTCACATGAGGTTAAAAGATAAAGTGTAAAAAGTAGAAATACCTTTATAAAATTTGTGATATAAAAGTATAATATCTAATATGCAAGGAGATTTTTAATTAAGAGAAAGATAAATAATTTAATAAAAACCAGCAAATAACACTAACAGGCAGGTTTAAAAAAGATATAAAAATGATTAAGAGATGTTCAGTTTCAGCACTACTCCAAGTAGTGAAGATTAGGTTTTTTTGCATATTGGTATATATGCATATATGGAATGCTATGCAGCCCTCAAAAATGGCATTTAGTATAGATGCCCTTTACGTCGGTATAAAATGCAGTTAACAAGATAGCCTGTTAGAGGGTTCCTGCTTTTCAGTAAGTGGAACTCTTCCATACACATGGCTCTTGTGGTCCTGAAGTAAGGTGGCTGCCTTGAATTCCCAGTTTCAGAGGTGCTTTTCAAGGTCTCTGGTTCCGAGAAAATCTTGGAAGTCTCAACATACTGTTGAGAAGAAAATCTATCAGCCCTTTAAAAAATTCTAAGCAATGAAAAGAACAGACAGGAAGCTGAAGAGCAGCAGGCCTAAGTAGAAAGTGTAAAGAAAGGGGCCAGAATACACAGGCAAGACAAGGACAAGAGAACTTGCCCCATCCCACAAGTGGTACACACTACACACTCCTCAGCCCTCCCCCTAATTCTCTCATCTCCGCAGTTCTTGGGGGGTCCGAGCTGTTTGCAGAGCCAATTCTGAGAGCGCTGGGTGGGGGTGCTGACACCACCAGGCATCCATCCTCTTGCCCTACAGGGGACCATAGTGAACAACTGATCATTTTCTCTGGTGCCTGGTAGAGTGAGTGACCTGCACACAGGCTGTGGCCAGAGGGTAGGCTTGAGAAACTGCTCAGGGTCTGGCTCAGTGTGGACCCTGACCAGGTGTTCATTCCAGATATCTGGGTGTGGCCCTGTTAGAAGTGAGGCATTTTTCTGCCACCCTTTTCTTTCTGTTCTGTGGCCTTGGGTGTGATGCCCTCCCATTCCAGGAACTCGGCTTCTGGATGTATGGAAAAGAACATTTGGACAAGATAGAGACAAAATCCCATCGGCCTCTGGCCTTCTGTGTTTCAGTGTCCAGCGAAGGGGACTGTAGTTCTTAACCATTTTGGTTTCAACCTCAGATGAAGCCATGGACCCTCCCACAGAGGTGCCCGCGTGCTCACGTCCAGCAGTCTCTACCACATTAGGATTCCAGTGCCTGAGGCTCGTTTACGGTGCTTGGTTAAGGTACTCCCTTCGGACCTTGCCTCGCCTGCCTGTCCCCCGCCTGCCCACTGCCCAGGCCCCAGTCTTAGTGGGAGCTCCCTGGCTTCAGAGACACAGCACGTAGGTTAACCCAGTCCAAGAAAGAGATTTATTATTATTATTATTATTTGGCTTTTGGTAATGGAGGAGTCAAGAAATGTCCCCTTTGAAGGAGCTGTGTGTCATCATTTTCTGCACCCACCCCCTTCCCAGCTGTGGACACACACCCACCTCTGTCCCCAGTTGAGTGTCCATTCTCTGGAAAGCCGCAAACACTCCAAGACTGGAATCCTATAGAATTATCTCAGAATCTCCATCATGTACTGGGCTAGGGGGGGACGTGAGGGGAGGTGGGAGGACGTGGGGCTGAACAGGTTGCTTTCACCCCCCAGCACCGAGGGCCTTCCTGGGCTCCTGCACCACGACTCGCCTGGAGACGCTGCTCCTGGTCGCCTGCCTCCTGGGGCCTTCTCTTCAGCACGGCCGTGCAGGTGAGAGCAGGGAGAGGGGTCTGAAGGGGCCCCCCAGGCACCTGTGGGCATGGGATGGGGAAGCTGGGACCACAGCACAATACAGGCTTGTTCCCGCTAAGGAACAGTAGCAAAAGCAAATTAATAATGATGCTCCCAGCACACGGGATCAGCTTGGTAAGTTACAAAATTTTTGCACATCTCCGACTGTGATTGAGCCCTATCTGATGGTGGCAAAGACAGTGACTGATTCGGTTTCACAGTTGGAAAAGAATGCCCCTCAAAACCATTCACTGGCATCCATTTCATTCTTGAGTTTGTGAATAAAATGAGGGAATAAGTAGAAAGATGAGAGAATTGGTTCCAAGAGCATTAAAAAGAAATTTATATATTCAGTTAAGAAAGGAAAGTCAAAATAAAGTTGCTGCTTTAGAAACAAGATGGGTTAGTCTTGCATGGCCGTGAAACTAATCATTTAGGGTTATCTTCTGAACCGGGCAAATGACATGGTCCCACCCTAAAGCCTGCTGTAAGTTTGCTGTAAGTTCATGGGGCTGCGAATGGCTGGGCCCCAATCAGTGCTGCAGAGTTAGTCACACCAAATGTCATCCCCTGGGAGGGTCAGAGAACAGTTAGGGGTAAATGCTTAGGAAATGTGTGATATGTATATTTTTAAAAAGTCACGCAATCATAGTTTTGCCTATTTCCAAGTTTGGGATTTTTTTTTTTTTTTTGTACGAAGATGAGGAAACTGAGAGAAGTGTCTTCATATCTCCAGGCCTCTATTCTATCATCTGTAAAATGGGGTAATGATAGAACCTGCCTCCCAGG